ATTCATTCGAAAGCTTTAATGTAGTATTTTTATTTTACTCTAACAACGAAGTTCGAGTTTATTATAAAAATAACGAGATATTTTAAAAAAAATTCATGTGACACGAATTAGAAATTTTTTATTTAATATAGAAAATAATTTGAAAGGACATGTCACACGACTGCTACTATAACATCCAAACATGTCAGCTATCGTAACTAAAATCGTCGAAAAGTACAATCTCAGCCCCAAGATGGATCTATCTGAACTTAGTCAACACACCTCAGAGTTTCTCAAGAATCTCACCGATGATAGAAAGCGGAGTCAAGCTCGACGACGACTTCGAGATGGTTTTAAATTTACCAATGAACAGGTGGGTATATTGATACCTAATCAGAGAGGCGGGAGAAATAAAACCATAAGCATTATCGAGGGTAGTTGCAAAATGGTTATAGCTTCGTCCCCAAAAGATTTAGAAGAAGAAATTATCAGAGAGATAGCAAAACGAATCTTGCAAAATAGATATGGGTTTAGTGTGAATCAAGTAAATGTCTTATTCTCTACTCAGGAAAACGAAAGTAAAACCAAGCACGAAGTGCCCTGCTCCGCAGTAAACATTGTTATCTCTAATCAGACTCCACAAGAAACTATTGGGGATATGGCGCAACGGATTTTACAGGATAAACTTAGTATTAGAGATGTAAGAGCTGAAGCTTATGCCTTAGCCCTATCAGCAAAAAATGCTAATGCTGGCTCATCACGTCTCTCCCGTCTCAGAAGAGAGTTAAAAACCCTTGGTGCTTCATTCCAAATAATCGAGGCTACGAAATTTTCAGATATTACAGAAGATGCCAACAAAATCCAGAGTGTCAATCGGAAAAAGGCTGAAGCTAATCGTATTGATTACCCAGACCACTTTACATTAGAATCGGTTAAGGAAAGGTTAGATGCATATGATATTAAAACTTCACCTGATTTACAAGCTCTCGCAGATGTTATAATAATGTTATGTATTCGTCCTGCCGAACTTACTTTACGTATTACAGATGCCGGAGTAACAGGTTACGCGAAGAACAGGGGTCAACCAGATATTCCTAGAAAATTTAGATCTATGGAGAAGGATCAAGAACGAGCTAAGGAATTGCTTACATGGATTCAGAATACTATATCTTCTGGTCGAATCGGTGATCCAGGTAAACCAGGAGTTAAATGGTTCAATAGATTTTTAAAAGGCTATGATTTAGTTCCTAAACATTTGCGCAAAATAGGGGCGGTCTACGGTGCCGTGATTCATGGTGCTAAAAATCCAGCTCATCTAATGACAATAGCTGGTGAATGTCTACGTCACTCATCCGACAACCATACTTCACCTGTGCAAAATTATGTTGTAGTAAATTACAGACCCAGAGGAGTTCCTTATGAGCAGGCAAGACCATTTCATATCTATGATCAAGATTAATTGCGCTTCTTTACTTTTGCCACATCCACAGTAAAATCTTCATCATCATTAGACGATTCAGACTCAGAAGTGTCTCTGATACATAATATCTATGGTATAGCCCCTAAAAATTAATTATCCGAACATTAGCTGTTTTTTTCGATTAAAGATATATAATATACAACCTGAGAATGATACAACTATTGCAGAGCAATGACCCAAAGGGTCTAAATATTTTTGATTTACCAGAATTACTAGAACAGATATTATATTTTTTAGAAATTGATCGATCCCTCTATCCTGCTTTATTCGTCAGCCACCTTTGGTATCACTGTGGTGCTCCTATTCTATGGCGACGCATTGAGTTTTTCAACGAAGATTATCAGCAGAGTCGGCGTGCCTTAAATATGTCTCGGGTTCTTACTCGGCGATTGATAAACTTTGAAAGAGTTATATGTAGAAAAATAAAGCCACTCTATTGCACCAAGATGATATATCTCAGATTAGAAGGTTTAAAAATCTCAGATGTATTGATTAGTACGATTCTACGCTCGTGTCCGAATATACGCTTTCTTATTCTTGATAAAAGTAAGGGTTTCAGTAATATACCAATTATAGAAATTGCAAGATTTTCTCCGAAACTACAGCATCTGAGTCTTAATTCATGTATATGTCTCACTAATCGATGTATCGCTGAAATAGTGCGTTCTTGTCCAAAACTTAGACATCTTGAGCTTGGTAACTGTTCGATTGGTAATAAAGCTGTCGAGGAAATAGCCCGCAACTGTACTAATTTGAAATATCTTAGTTTGGAAGGATGTAATGGGATTAGCGAAGAAGCGATGAAAAAACTTAATTCTAAAATTAGCGTGAGCAAGCCTTCGGCTAAAATCAAACATCCGGATTATTCTGATGATGAATTCTCGGATTCTGATCTACCTCCACTTGTTCCAGATCCATTAAGGGTATCTCGAAGCGTTATCTTTACCGGTGGACCTAATAGAATGGTTTTAACTAATACAATAATTGTAACAGATCTTATTTCTGAAATTAGAGTATCATCAGCATTGACTGATTCAGATCCGGATTTTGATGGACCTATCATTTACATTCTAAAATAATAGTATACAACTATTTAGTCGCATATAAAAATAATTTTCAATGTTATCATAATAAGTATTTCTTATCTGAAAATGCGTATTAATCTCTCTGTTTTACAAATAAATAAGAGACATCTATTGTTGTTGTATAAAAACGATTAAGCTTATTTTTTGACATCGAATGGGGGCCTACCTATCAGAGAAATTATGCAAATATGTGTCTTTGACACTAGCCCCGCTATTATGATTGGTAAAGGTAACGGATCGCCCATAGAAAAACGATTAATGTATGATGTTGTAGGAGAATCGTCCGAGATCGCCCATAGAGAATAGATTAATCCCATTCATGAGAAATATTGCTCCGAAATTACTAATTTATCGATTGTAGTGTTTTGCATCTTTAACAGAGTGACCCATTGAAACTACTAGTATTATAAAACACACGTTATTAGAATGAGTGGTTCAACTTACTATTACAAAATAAATATCGGATATAATCTGACGTAGTATTATGGCCATTTCTAACCTTAAAGCCCTTGCATATAATATCTTAAAAGAATTCGAAGATCCCATTGTCAGTGGTAAGGATTTATCAGAGCTGAACTGTTCAGAATGCGACAAGAAGATTATTTCGTCTCCTCATATCAAATCTTTCACAACATTGAAATGTGGACATACGTTTCATAGACTTTGTCTCGAAAAAAAGATTTTACTTGCTTATCCGAATGTATGTCCTTATCCCAATTGCGATGAAAAACTTGACCTAATAGAATTTCCTAGGCGTGATTCTGAGTCGAGTGGAGTATAAAGTCTTTGACCGTGACTTCTTCGTGAAAATTGGAAGGAATTCCGTTAATATATTTGAAAGAATCTTTCTTAGAGGTTGATAGTTGAGTAAAGGAAGAAATTTAAATTTGATAATCCCTCCGCATAATCAATCAGATAATCTGTATGTTGTACGCGTTTGATGGGGCTGTGCAACAAAAATTATTTCTAGATTCTCTTTTTTTTAGTACAAAACATGTCACAAACCAGGTCCAGTGGTAGTGAAAATTCAGAACATCTACACGACCCAGACTTTCTCAGCAATTCTGCATCATCATTCAATACTCGAGATGTTCGTTCATTGAGAGTGAGTTTCTGCTCAGCTACGCAAGCGAACGAAGTTATTCCTAATAGAAATGGTACGTTGTATCAACATTCCTCTTAGCAAACTCAATACTTACAACTTAATTTCATATAGTCAACATTCCACAAGAATACATTCTCCCAGGTGTCAACCGTACCGTGCTCGCAATGGAAGAGCTAGATATTGACCAATTATGTCAAAATGATCATGATTATGTTAAAACATTCATTTACAAATTGCACGAAGTTGTCAAGAATACGAAACTTGTTATAGGAACAAGCGAAGCTTCTACTGATACATTGGTAGCCAATTTAATATTTTGTGTTATCGAATTTGATAGATGGCCCTTGGTGGTTAAGTTAGTATTGGTGGAAATGTCTTTTGTTTATGATATACTTTAATAGTTTCTTAAAGATTGCATTACATTCAAACTTAGATTACATCCATTGTTTAAATTTTACGTTGGAAATGTAATTTTGTCAGCAAAAGCCGAATTTGTAATTAATTATAGAAACTATTCTTTATTGGTCGTTGAGGTCTGTATGTTATTGATTGCTTGACAAATGCGTATTTTTGCTAATTCAAACAATCTTTTTAATAGGATAAACATCTAAATAACATTAGGCCAACCAATGACTATGGGGAACCCCAAATAGGTGCTGAAATTCTTGCTTGTGGGGATGAAAATATACGTCAAGCTCGTGAGGCTTTTAATATGACTATATTTGCAGTTCGTGTGGTTTCCACTTATGTTACGTTTTACCGTGCTACGATCAGTAAAAGTTATTGGAATGAACTTGCTATAGGTTGCCCACGACAGCAATCAATCACAGTTTTAAGATGGCCAGGGAATAGTAGTGATCCAATTGTTGGTTTTGATCTTGCAGAACCAAATGGAAGAAGAGGTGTGTTAGAAGCATTATCCAGGATTCGTCATTACTTCTTATACTAGATGAAAATCTATTATAATAGTACAGTATGGTTAGCTGAGATTAGTAATAAAAATAATTTTCTCTTAAGAACCTAATAAGGTTTTACTTGAAAAGGTTCATTTTTATATATGTTTTATTACATTATACGGTCATCAATGTTGCATATAATCAAGAATTTTTCTTGGCAAATTTCAGTCATGTGGTTTTTTTGCGATGTAGCTTCATTGAAAAAATTTTTCTTGACAAAGTGATCAGTGTGAAATTTTTTCATGCACTCATGTAATTTTTATTAACTCAAACTTTTGAATATATCCACATCATGTAATTAATGAATTATAAAACTAGCACTCAAAGAGGCGCATAAAATTTATTAAATATATATATAAACATATACATAAAAACATATATACATTATTATCTTCTAATACTGGCGCTACCAGCATCTTTGTATGTTCTTCTGGTTGTCCTGGGTCTCAATAACATTATTAATTGGTGATTCGTGAATAAATCAGAGAAATGTCGATCATTTTAATATAAATTTTTGGTGCTAATTAATATTATTAAAATTAAAAAATTTTCAAATCTCACTGTCCACACTTACAAATCCTCATGTCTTCCCAAAATTTTTATGAGGTAACGTATCCGACTTACTCGTATTCATTGTTTATAACAAAGCCCTATCTATGAAAGCGAAATTTTACTTACTATGGGTTTTCGTATTTAGGAAACGTGAAAATGGCCAACAACAATATTACTCTCAATTGTCTTGCTATTCCTAATAGCCCACGTAATCAACTTTCAATCAATAGTGTTGTACTTACAATTACGATTTCCAGAGATGCAACGGTTGATGATCTCCAAACCGCAATTCAGAATCAATTGTCACCTCCATTCAATAATATTCCTCTCGACATTCGCCAGATTTATTATTCTGGAAGTGTAGATGAAAGGCGCATGCGATCACCAGCTCCAATCTCTAGTTTTTCAACGATAATCCTCCTAGAAACATATATCACATTATTGCATACTCCCTACGTGAACCAGGGAATGAATAATTAGATTTTTTTATTTATATTCGTATCGTGTAATAGTATGTCCTTCTGGGGCTATATTTTTTATGTCTTTACTTCAGTAAAGTTTTTATTTCGTAAAATAAAGCAAGGTCTATGTAACCATTTGTCTTATGTTCATCCATGTTTTTTATCTGAAATTAATTCAAAAAAATGAAGTCGTTTATCCATATTAATATATACGTCAAATATGTCCCGTAAATCTTTTACTTCGGACCAATACCACGAATTTATCACATAGGCCAGCCTTTACATTGAAATTTTTCTGTTAAAAATAATTTTTACATATCAATATCAATATCAATAAAGTTTTAAAGTAACGACCACCACGGTCGGATTTATTTATGCGGTAAAAAATAAAATAAGATACAGGATAGATAAAAATAATATAGATAATAATGGAGTTTTAATTTTCATATGGAGGGGATGATACTGTTGAACTATCTTCTTTATCTCCATGTGAATCACGATCCGCATTTAATAATAGTGATAGGTTGACGATTAGGATTCTCTATAAAAAAAAGTTAGATATAGATTCGCCATAAAAAAATAGACAAGTAAATCCATACCCGAAATAGCAATAATGTCTCCACAAAATTATAAACAGTATCTCTATCTGTGAATTGTATCGGGATATCCATTGAACGTAATCTAAAAAGCCTATTTATATCATCTTTATCTCGAATAAGGATATTCAGATGAAGTTTTTGTCCAGCAATTTGTATCCCAATAATTCCGAATTCATCTTTTTTTGGTTTACAGCCTTTATGTACCCAATACATACCGTCATTCATCTCTCGCCATAATTTTACCCAATCGTTTTCTTCCTTATCTTTATCACAAAAAATACAGGAGCATTCAGCAAACATTAATTCATAGATTTTTTTCCCACGCTTCACCATAAACATAATGTCAGGACGTTTGCCAGTCTTTCCTCTTCGATCTTTACTTGCTATACTCTGTCGTTCCGCTCTAAATGAATAAAAAATATAAATGTATGATTATCCGGAAAAGATAATAATATTATACTTACGTGCTAACAAAAGCGAAACTTTTTATTGGTAATTTTTTTAATGAAGCTTTCACCATAGGAACTATAATATCTGTAACATATGTTCCTTCATTCTGAGATTTAATAAACTTATTTCCAAATGCTGGATTCCTCCAAACATCACCTCTGTTCAAATAGCAGAAAAAATGTAATCAATATTTTTTTAGAATAAAATCCATATTATACTCACATTATATCGAGAATTCCAGATGCAATTTCTTCGAGAACTTCTTCCGACTCATCCCAATTTCCATGTGAGAGTTCAATAGGTATTTCCTCATATAAGGTATTGCTATAAGTCATCACAAATTCATCACACACATCTCTGATACGATGAGGGGTTAATCTCTCCATACGTTCTACTGGCTCCATAAAATCTTTATATTCATTTTCTGCCTCCACAGATAAGTGCTGTATAATATCCGAATCGTAACTAATTACTTGACTTGCTTTTGGATCTTTCCATGAAAGGTCAGAAGGTTTGATTTTTTTAAGGTATTTGCTTAATTTTTTGGCATATGGAGCTGAACTTTTACCAAGATTCAACTTTAATTTCCGTAAATTCGTTTCAATCTCCTCAATAGACACCTCTTCATCTCGCTTCGCAAAATCAATATCTCTAAGGCTACACACACCTTCGAAAGCATCATCAAACTAGCGTAGAAATAAATAAGTTAGATTTGGTTGCTCTAGAGAAACTTATAATAAAAACGTGTGCACACTCTTCAGAATATATTATGTAAAATCACCAACTATGCGTGGCCAGCACATAGATGACAATTCACATAATTCGTATATAATATCCATCTCAAACCAAGACAAAGAAGACTTCCCCATGCGTCTAAGGATTAATACAATAATGATTAAACCTGTGCTTGCAGGCTCTGGATATCTACTCAATCTGGTTTTAAGATTCTACGCTATTCATCATTCGATGATAAAAAATAATTTTTGAGAGTAGGAAAAAAACTAACCTTAAAAGGGATCTCATTAAGTTTTCTATATTTCTCCGAATTCCCTTCAAGCTCATTTTTTATAGCCGTGATCACATTATGAATCAATTGTCTCGAATCTTCTTTTGGAAACCACGGCTCTTCTTCTATTATTTGATGGACTATTGAAACTGCAGTAATATGTTCTAGGGGGGAATTATGAAGAAAATTATAAACTTTTTTGTATAATCCTGTATTAGACATTTTACGTAGTTAAATTGTTATAAAAAAAAAGATTAAAATATTTTAGTGCTAATGTAAAAGCGTCGAGTAACAATAACTTCGATATACTGTCCTTTTAAACGTTTTCGTTTATCTCTCTACATCTTCATTTGGATCTATAGAATGGGTATAATAAAGTGGAAGAAAGTAGTATTTACGCCAAGAATTTTCATTACAAAAGATAATGAATATACATGAGGTAATTAATCGAATTTGGTTAATCGCACAAATAAACATGCATGCAATATTACATTATATATAGTTAGGTAGTACACATCGAAATTCTAAAAATAATTTTCATTACATAGCCATGTACAACATATCGATTATCTGATTGATTATGCAGAGGGATTATCAAGGCACATAAGTGTCATTGCTTTGCAATAAATTTAATTCCTTCTTTAAATCAATTCACGCTGAAATATATACGACATAAATGCTTCTTCTTTTATGGCGATGCGAATACAATCAAAATGGTGGATATATATACTAGCAATTACGTTTAATCAAGAAGGAGTATAATATTTTTTTATTACTTTTTCAGATGTATTAACATCCTGCTTCACAGATTCCCCTCTTCATTTATAGATTCCATATAAGAAGGTGGTTGACTACCTTCAACATCGAACATACTAACATCACTGTCATTTTGTGATGCAGATATATTAAGGGATGTGGTAATATTTGCCAACTCAGATGAAGATAAGTATGTAGCATTATCTAAATTTTCATCTACATCATTCGTGTTACGACCTGAATTCCCACTCACATCATTAACATTATTTACATTGTTTCCATTATCTTGATTATTACTGGTGGTGACTGTTTCACTGGTATTCTCATTCCTTCTATTATCTTGATTATTATTGGTGGTGGCCGTTTCACTGGTATTCTCATTCCTTCTATTATCTTGATTATTATTGGTGGTGGCCGTTTCAGTGGTATTCTCATTCCTTCTATTATCTTGGTTATTATTGGTGGTGGCTGTTTCGCTGTTATTCTCATTCCTTTCACTAGTCGCTCTTTGGGTGGGTGATGCGGATCGATTCCTTTGATTAGTGGTAGATTCACGGCGACTCGTACTTAGAATTGTTGACACTTCGTAAGATGGTGGTGGGGTACGGTTACGGCGACGTCTTCTGGTGGATGTATTTGTATTATGCAACATGTCGAATCTATATTTCATATACGAGGTAAATTCATGAGTTATCTATATAGCGAAGCTAGTGTCTAAGACATATATTTACTACTACAGTGATAGATTGTATCATAGGTGATCTTACCAGGTCTCTCCCAAAAATGAGAATTAAAATCTTCAAAAAATCGTTCACCTGCTCTACTCCTCTTCCCGGTTCTACTTCCAGCTATGTATTGGCACATTGACTAAAATAAATTCAGCGAAGTAGGCAATACAAAAGTATATTAGAAATGTCATAGATAAAAATAGTATATAGAATTTAACGCTTACGTTGTAATCTCTAACAAGATTTTGAAATCTATTATTACATTGTTGTCCTGTATAGGTAGTCCCAAATCGTTGGTTGATTGTAATTGCAATACTATTCCAAAAGTCTACCCTGCTACTACCGGGAATATTATAATACTCACCATTTCGATTTTCTCTTTCATCAATTAGTAAGCGCAGTTGATCATCGGTCCACATCAGAAAAATTTAGACGTTCCTAATTTCAACGGATGTTCAACTGAGATATGATATTTCCATATGTTTTTATAAGAAAAAAAAACATCGTACCTTCATCGTGTCTTCAACGTACCTTCATAGTGCCTTCATTTCGGATTTGCACATTTCGGATTTGAACATCTCGGACCGGGCGATCTCAAATGGTGAATGTCATACACCCACCCATATCACTAGAAAATTAAATCATATGCTTGTAATACACCCAAAATAGATTATGCAACGATTATCCCAAATGTAGATCCACATACCCGAAATAGATTTTCATCTACGGAGGTATTTCATATGCTCAATGAGTAATTGGATATATATACATGAACGATTTATACATAAATATCTACACAAATAAATTCTTACAATTAACTCTAAACCGCATTCTCGCTACAACCCAGGCCCTATGGGCGATCTTTGAGTAACTGCACTAAAAATGAATCCAGTTTTAACTATCAATATAAAACTAAATCTAATAGGTCCAATAATCCCTAAATACGATATAATCACATATAACTTCCATAAACTATAAATAGGTTATATAAGATAGATGGTTAGCTTAAGCGAATTACGTGGAACCAATTGTACCTATGCTGAATGGGTTGAATATTGTAACATGCCTCAAGTTCGTACTAATGAAACTCCTAGCGAGTGGATGGATCGAATTTGGCCTCGCTTACAATATTTCAGGAAGAATGATCTATTGCCCACCGAAAGTAAAAAATATCTTGAAGCTAGGAAGTTAATAACATATGGATCTGAGGTTAATGGATTTTATAAAAGCTATGCGCCTGAAATTGGTATTGCTATCTGCTTCTCTTGTAATCAATTAGTATATACCGGAAAACGAACCAAAAATATAGGTAATTATAATCATGGAGAGGCATTGGGCTACCCATTGTACAGGAAATACCTTCTGTGGTGTAAGTTATGATGAATATTTGCTGAGAATCAAACAAAAATCTATTTCAGGATATAATTGTGATAACGAGTATGCATTACACCGTTATAAATTGTGGATGCAAAATGCTGTTAGAAGAATTAAGCGTGCAAGAGAAATCGGTAGAAAAATCAGAGCTGTAAAGGTAATACAACAAAAATGGTTAGAGTGTTTATACAGACCTGATGGTCTCTACGCTTCAGAATTAGCATTACATTACCAATTGTTATGGGCAGTTCGGGAAGAAATGCGACAAGTTAACAATGCATAGCTTATTATAAATAAACCTAACAATATATATACTGTATCTATCTTACTTATCATATTATTTATTATTAATATACATTATTGATTTGAATTTTTTCAAGTTTAGAATTTGTGGATTCAGCTGGTAATATACTTTTTATCTTGCACTTTTGATGCAATTCTATTTTCTTCTGCAAATCTAGTGGAGTATCGAACCTTAACCAGGCCTATCTAGATCAAATACAATAAATTCACCTTACGGGAGATAGCTACCATGTGTAGTTCATAATTCAGGGGCAATATTTATGTTTAGCAATGGTCGATCGTCAAGTCATGTGAAAGCGTGAGTCAATTTGCCAAAAATTTTTTTTACAATGTTGTGTAGAAAATTAATTCTTCCCCTGACAAGTTCTGTCTTTACCTATGTCCGCAACAGTTTTCAGCTTCGTTCATACTTTTCAATAGCTCAGCTTGAAGAGAGGAAGGCTTTATTAAAAGAGGTACCTTTTGAATCTACATATTTCAGATCGTGCGTTCAGAAAATAATACTTCTTACTTTTCTCGTAGATTTATACTCCCTCTTTCTCAAAATTAAAGAAGGGGACAAAAGAATATTTAGATCTTGGTAAATCTGGGAAGGTCTGGGAGAACTATTTTCGTCCGTTTGAATGGCGTGCACAGGATTATGGTACGAACAGTAAATTTTTATGTTTTCATGACTTTTTGTTCGGAATGACAATTATGCCAATTTTTTACTTCCTCAATAGACTTTTATGCAAGACATTCCTGTTTTATGGATGAGATATCTGTCATCAAAGATACTATCGAGATTCCGGTTAAAGATCTTCTTCAACGTATGATTGTAAGTTTTTCGCATCAAAGTTGCGTCATAGAGGGAAATTCACTAGGAAGTGCAGAGTCACAAATCATTTGGGAAAAAATGAGCCAAGACTATAACATTGACGATTTGCAACGTGAGGGAGCACAATTACCCGAGCCGAAATCTCTTATCGATAAACCTGGAAAGGAGATTGAAGTTGTCGAAATCCGTAACCACCTGCTTGCGACCCATTACTTATACAATACTTTGCTAAAGTCAGAACAAGAAATAAACATCGACAATATAAAGAAGATCCATCGTACTCTTTTGAAAGATACCCCACAGGAGAGAGTTAATGTATGGGGCAAAATCCAGCATGCAGGAATGTTTCGAACAATGCCAATGCAGGCTGTAGGTTATCATTTGACCGTTTATCCGGTAAGTTTTAGTTTATTAATATCCGCTTATCAAGTTTCGATTATGGCTCAATTTGTGTTCTCTGTAGTATGGAGAGGAAGTGCCCGCGTTGATGGAAAGGTTTGTACAATTTTACAACAAGACCGTCACTAGCGATAATGTTGAGGATCATGAACCATATCAAATCCACCCTCTTATGAACGCATGTCGCATACTTTCGTCCATCCTTCATATTCATCCATTCTACAATGGTAATGGACGTATGGGACGTTCACTCATGGCGCTTTATCTTGCCCGTGGTGGCTTTCCACCCCTTGTTTTTCAACAACTTGATCGAAAAGAATATGCGGACGCATTGTATAAGGCTCAGGCAGAGAAGGATATGGTCCCTTTATATAACATAGTGATAGGAATCATCTATGATATTTTAGCATCGTATACGTGGTTACCCATTAAAGAGTAATATGATATGAGCGTGATTATCAGATAATAAAATACGTCAACTCAGGCGATTATTCCTTACAAATTCTAAAATAATATCAATAAAGTTTCACCCATGATTCGAGCATATATTTTTCAAACATGGTGTAGTGATGCATCGGAGCATTCTTAATCGACACTGGCCCTGCGCCGAAAATATAAGCATTCTACCCTTGTGACATGTTCCGGGGAGTTCCTGATAACCTGTGATCTCCACTCGCACAAAAAATGAATCACACAAAAGTAATTAAAGTTAAGTTTATTCTATAAGACCCAATTTCTTGAAGATGTTCTGGAATGACTATATATGAGTCTTCGTAATACCAAACATACCTTAAAACAATCCAGTTTTCTTCGCATAATTCTTTTTGAGATAATACCGCTTTTTCTGTTTGATAAATTTTTTGGATCCCTTTTGATATATTTCATGTTGTTCCCCTGTACTTCGGTCACAAAACATAATCATAATAGGGAATATCAAGTTCCAATCCTTTTTAATATTCGGGTTTTTAGGAATTCTAGTCTACGATTTTTCTGACGAAGGCTCAAGGTATTTTACGACACAAAATTTCACATTTATGTAGACATGAATATCAGTTATTTTGATTTTTAATTTCGTGCCACATCAATGTCAATATCCATTACCTGATACAATTTATAATAATATATTTTATAATAATAAGAAAAATCAAATGCAGATCTCTCAAAGTGCATTTCATGCATTAGATCCCAAAAACGCATTTGATTTATAATTATACTATTTATTCCTATAACGTTTCGATATCCCTGAAGGCTAGTATCTTTTTATTTTTACGGAATATATAATGTAATTTTTTCCCGCTTCAGGCATATAATAGAAACAATAGATTTGATTCTTTCGATTTTTATTACAAGATTTTGCACATTAATATTTTTGTGCGATATGTAATTGATAAATTATATAATTCTAACGTTCAAAAAAGGCACACGATTTTATTTAATATATATAAAACACATATATTATTGACTTTAAATACTGGCACCACCTGCATCTTCTTGAAAAGTTCCCGGTCTAGCACTAATGTATTCAATTTTTAATTGTACTCCTTCTACTGTTTGTTGATGTGAATGTCCTGGATTTGCAAGAATATTATCAAGGTTAATGCTATTGCTATTGATATCTAAACGTTGATCAGTTTGATTTTCTCTCTGAATTGACCTATGATTATACAAAACGACAAAAATAAGATTATAGTTACGAAGGAAGAAAAACAACAATTGCTTCTTTGTGAGAAATTATGTAACTTACAACATAATAGAATTTCCTATTTGTCTTGTTACTCGTCCGCTATCTATAAGACTGTTATTGCCATCATAAACGAAAAGAGAAATCGCATCTAATCCAACTACATAAAAAGTATTAATGTTACATATTACTTAACTATAATTTTATTAAAGCTAATAAAAGAATTTAATTACCAACTGTAACTCTAATTTGTCCGTCCATTATAGAGTTCTTTCCAAAAAAAAATCGATAAAATTAAAAATGATACCTCACAAATCTGGTTTATTTATACGTTTCATTTGTTACCTGAGAACCTGCTAGAAGAAAAATTACTAGTAATTACGTTACCTGATCATTTCTCGGATCCTTTCTTCATAAGGCAGGTCTATTAAGTCATGGGTGTCAAGAACTGAATATATTTCGTCATTTATGGGGGAAATTAAACCTTTCAGTCTGACGATCGCTTTTGTAGAATAAAAAATAAGACAAATTTTGGCGATCTCGGATCTCAAGTTCCGTAATATATGAATTTTGATATTATTGCTGATAAAGAACAATAAACTCTCCTCATTCATATCCTTTTTGAGTCTCGTTTGTATTTTTTCTTATCGGTAAAGCTATACACAATAAGGAAAAGGCTTTATTAACTCCATAATCTATAAATATAGTGAGAAAATAATTTAGCAGTATCACAAATTAGTCTTGTGGAACATCCAACTATATATGTGAGTCTAAGACTCTATGCTCTGCATATTAATATCTCGATTTTTTACCATTTATCAATATATTCGCTCAAACCCCCCATAATCGCTTACAAAATACGATAAAATGATTCAAATAGAATTTGCACAAAAAATGAATCGTGATATTAATAGATAGATAATTGATAAAAATTAATAGGTCTAAAATCCTAAATACACTATAACTCGTTAAATCATATACACTTATAACATACTATATAAATAGGTCATATAAATGAATAATTTTGGCAGATTAATAGCTCATTCTGGTTCTAAATGCAGTAATGATGAATAGTTTGAATATTGCTGGATGCCTCAAGTTCGCACAATGAAACTCCTGGTGAATGGAAAGAACAAATTTGGCCTTGCTTGCAGTATTTCAGAGATAATGACCTTTTACCTACTGGAGGGAGGGAGAAATATCTTGAAGCAAGAAAATTGACCTGACTCCCAGATGGGAAATTGTATGCTCCTACAATAGGGCTGGCTATCTGTTTCTCTTGTGATCAACTAGTATATACTGGGGAAATGACCATAAATATGGGAAATAATTATAATCATATTGGAATGGAAAGGCATTGGGCCTCTCATTGTACTGGAAATAAATACTGTGGTGTGGATTATGAAGAATATTTGAAAATCATACAAAAACCCGAATCTACATGTAAATACAATGACAATTATGCATTACATTGCTATGAATTGTAGATGACAAATGCAATTGGAAGGATCAAATGTGCAAGAGAAGTTGGAAAAAAGATCCAAGCATGCACTATCATACAGAAAAAATGGTTAGAACTCTTCTACAGACCTGAAGGCATGTGTGCTACAGAATTAGCTAAACATTACGAACTCTTGTGGGGGATCCAAGAGGAGATGCGTCAAGCTAACAGTGTATAAACTGTATCTAATTAACTTATCTATCTGCGCTATCTTTCCTAAAAGAAAGCTAGTAGCTTTATTTATTTAATGTTTCAATACCCCCTTGAGGACTGGTATCTTTTTTTGTTCTGTATTTTTCGAATTCCTAGAATTTTGAGAATTATCTATTTCCTAATAATACAGTGACCAGTAAAGTAACTATACCACCCATGGGAAATCCTCCTTTCAATCCATATTATTTGGGTAAACTTACTGAACTTTGCCCATCGATACAATGGAATATATGGAAAAGCCTCACAACAGGGAAATACCCTATTACTATAGAACAAGCTAGTGGTATTTATCCAGAAATAGAAAAAAAGATTGATCGTGAAATTCTGAATTATAAGAATAGAAAACAACGACAGCGTCGGAAACCCTTACTTGAAAATTTATCATATATATATAACATAGATATGAACAATAAGGAAACTCAGACCCAGGCACAAAGTGCCATTTCTCCCAAAATAAATATTACTCCAATTTGTATGCGTGATCATGAGGAAGAGATTAATCGTCGGGTCAAAAAAGGGCTTAATATTTTTCATCAGCAATTGCTTAAATATAATGTAGATACATTTGGAAAATTCATGCAAGGCGTCACTAGAGATTATGAGGAACAGGTTAATGCAAATAAGAAATTGCGATTTGAGATTGAGAAAATGAAGTTGCAACTGCAGGAGGCGGAAGATACGTTATTTAAGCTTAGCGGAGCTAGTTTCACTAAAAATTCTCGATAATAATGTATAGCGAAGCCAGTGTTGAGACACATATCTTTATTATGCGGTCAATAACTTGATCTCTTTTTCCAGATCTAGAGGATTCATCCATCCGACTCTGATGGACATAGGATCAGAGATTGGCACAGTGGTGTCAAAGACAATGAATTCACGATTTCGCAAATAGTTATTGATAACTCTAGAAGCTTTGCGTGGATCTTCTTCTATGTATTGTCTTATAATTCGTGCAATATCTTCTGTAGACCCCCCACCATCAAACATTACAAGATGGGATGAATTTTCACGCATAATTTTTGACATTTGAGTGAACTTATGTGAAATATATATTGCGGAAACATTTCTATGGCGACCTCTGGTGAAAAATGGAATGATACGATTTTGAATTGATTGAGGTTCAGTACACACATCCTCAAAAATTAAAACAGTCCGTCTTTTTGGATTTTTAAATTGTTTCAGATCTGGGATTTTATCAGGGGTAATTGCAGTAAATGTAACATCCTCATAGTACGGCTTGGAACGATCTGCTATTTTCTTATAGAAGTTTCGAAGTAATCGGTATTTTGGTTCATTGGGATGGCGAGTTACTAATACAATATCATTGCAACGTATATGACGTTCGCCAATTTTCTCTGATTTTTCTTTGAGATCATAGTATTTATCTCCGGAAAATAGATCTACCACCATATTGGTTTTACCAGTGTTTGATCTTCCAAAAACCCCCATATAGAATGGCCACTTTGGGGCATCTTCATCATCTAAAGATTTTTTTGGTGGTTTAACTTTGTCAATATGATATATATAATAGTACTTCATTCTGATATAATTACTGAGACAAAATATTAGTCACAATTCTGAATATATTAATATTTTTTCTAGCTAAAGTTATTGGCGTTATAACACTTACACAGCTTCATTAAATGTGTACAACATCATCTAAGATTTTTTTTGGTGGTTTGATTCATCATAGTATATACATAATTCTGATACTAACTATATTTTTTTGCAAATTTTTCCTAGAAATGAGTATTGTGAGATTGTAAATAAGGACTGGGGAAGTCCCGAGCATGTCGATCAATCGGAACCAACTTACTGCGGCAGCCACGTGACAATGACATCATTTTCTATTTTTATCTTAATATTTTGTGTAACAACTACGCCACATACTGCGTCATGTTACACATTACATCATTTCTATTTTTAACTTATTTTA